GATATCCTACTTACACGCTCAAGTGCACAGACTTTGATTACTTCGTTATATCGCTGCTCATCATAGTTTTTACCAAAAATCACATTCTCCCGAAAAAAACCGTTGTAAACCCATGATTGCTGGGCTGCGTAAGCCATTCTCCCATTGACTAAAAAAATCCCCTCAAGTAAAGGTAGTTCACCAAGAATGGCTTGCAGCATTGAAGACTACAACAAACAAAGATAAAAATAATATTCAACATTCAATAACACATTGATTAATACATAAAAAAAATGAATTAAATTCAGTCCTTTGGTAAGGACCAGGTTTGACYATAGAATATATAAAAAAAAGTTTTTCCTATYACCTTTCCAGATCCCACTTCACCTATAACTGATAGTATAAAAAAATGAAAAAGAAAAAAATACAAGTTATTTACTAACATGGAGTACTGTGGATATAAAAAAACATAAAAACCAGACGATGCACCAACTAATCAGAGCTCTCAATACCTATRAGAAAAAAAATTCCTGAAAACCCCTGTACTATATGACCGGGACGTTTATTCAAATTCAAGAAAAAAACACGAATATAAATAAATAATAGTGTACAAGTGTACAAGTGTACAGTCCTGCAAAAAAAATGAAGGTAATCGAGGCAGGACAGTAATATTATTATAAAAATTAATATAATAAAAAAATTATTCAATAAGGAAGGAAGGCCAGGAAGTAAAAGCTTTCTCTATAACTGGAAAAAAAAAAAGTGTTATGAAATACCTGTTTAATGCTAAAACTCATTCCACGTAGAGTAAAAAAATTTGGATCCTAATGAAAATAGCCATAACGTGAATTGGTATAGCTATAGGACAAAAAAACTTAAAAAAAAAACAAAGTAGTAGCAGTCAACTACTTACATCTGACCATGAAAAAAAAATGTTTTCTGCAAAGATACCACACTCTCCTGTTTCTGCCTTTTCAGTGGATAAAAAAAGCCCTTTACATATTGGACAGAGCTCTTCAAGCATGAGAAAATTCTGTATGGAAAAAAACCATGGAAAAAAGATAAATAAAATTAAACTTATACACTATACTCTATACCTAAAAAAACAAGCCAATCAATGGAGCTACAAAAATAGTTWAACTCTTTTCTTTGTACATACTTGTATTCTAGTAAGTGAGACTCTCATATCACTTAATGTTGCCATGGCTGAAGGGAAAAAAAATGTCAAGGCTGTCTTAACAGAGTTAAACAGTGCCACACATGTAAATACTTTAAAAAAAGTCAATGCATTCCCAGTCAAGACATAAGTCATGAATGTTAGAAAACAGACCAAAGTAGAACTACAGAAGAAGAGTGATATGAACAGTGATCTTCCTCTAGACAAAATCTAAAAAAAAGATATTTCAGCCCTGTACAARATAAAAATTGTTGGAATTGAAGGTCAACATGTTTATCGTGAAAATTTACATCGACATCTGTACTTCAGCTGCTGCCAATTCTTACCTAAAAAAATCCCCAACCAATTGAACAACAAGATCCTCACTTACATACATTTTAACAACACGAATACCAGTAATAATCTCACGGATCAACTGTGTTCGATGGTCAATTGATTCAAGAGCCTTTCGTCTGACAAAACAAAATAGCATATTTATATTTACTTGTGAATGATACAACATTTGGCAGGTACTGTAACCAGGTGGGTGAGTTTCTAACTAAGAATTCAAGCCTCAAACTTGCTAGATATAAAGRAAGTCATAAAAACAAAGATTCAGACAAATATCTAAACTAAGCAAAAAAAAAGCGTTTCAAGGGTTAAATGTATGGGTATAGAAGTATGTAAGCATACAGAAAAAAAAAGATAAAAACCCATACCTTAAAAACATAATGAAGGAGCTCATCTTYACTTGTAAAAAAACCAGCACTAAAAGAATTCCCATTCCAACAAATGAAGAATAAGAAATTTGCTCCCACACCAGATACCAAACTACTATGGCTTCAACAGGCCCAAGAATGAGGTAATGTAGGTAGAGGAAAGACTAAAGGAAATAGAAAAACAATTGTTTAAGACCTTTTAAAGAYAATAAAAAAAAAMMAGAACTATACATCATACTYACAGCTTCAATCTTGGCCACATCTGACGCTACTAAATTACCAACGTTGATGCGCTGCACTTTAGTATAATTAGTGGGACTTAGCCTTAGGATCTGTTTTCATAATGAAAAAGCACACATTTATAAAGTGTAGCTTATATTTACATTTTACAATTATCTAACTTGTTTTAACAGGCACGGCTGTATGTACCATCATTAACACTAAAAAAATGTGAGACTTTAAATTGAACTGCATTTGCAATGACAAGATGCCACAGAGTTAAAAAAATTTATTCTCGTTTTGCTTAATGTTAGGATGATTATAAGAGATCTCACACGCAAAAAAAATCAACTTGATCATCATTGCTGTAATTACTAATATCTACTACACATCAATCAAAAAAACCATAACAATACCTTTTTGTAAATAAGATGGATCAAGCCCTCTTTAGCAAGAAAAAAAACCATCTTACGATGATAGTAATAAGGTGTGCTGAAGAAGATTGATATAACTAAAAAAAGGCTGTATGCCATGGCRTAAAGGTAYGCATCTCGCTCACTRAKTGTAGTGTAAAAAAAGAAATAACTGATGAGCTTCTTGAGAAATAGTGGTTGAGCTATTGCCAAACCAAAAAAAACATGATTAAAACAAGACTGTATGATACATGTACAAGAAATTACCAAACTGAAAAAAAAGGCCTTCTAATCATAACCATACAATATGAATCAGTGCTTATCTATAGTGTAAAAAAACTATGGCTTCCTCCCTGGGCTGTCCCTGCCAGAATGCCCCTTACAATAACAAAAAAAATCATACATGCATGTACTAAATTATAATACATTAAAATAATCATTATACATTAAAAAAATACCACGATAATAGCTGGTATCATTAACAGTGCATAGTATAGCCCAATTGACCTAAATAATGCTTTGAGTAAACTTGGTTCCTTTGCACGTTGTCCACTGCGTTTATAGAAAAAAAATTGGTCAATCCAATTCCTTAAAAATAATAGCAGTATAGTATCAATAATTCAAAAAAAAAAATTACATAATGCAGTCAATAAATGTATAAATAAAGTTATAAAACACTGAAAAAAATCTCTAATTTTTCAGTTGTTTCTTCAATTCCAAGTCCATTCAGGGAAATCAAAAAAAATAAGTCAATTTCCTGTAGAGGTTTTTTAAACCCACGTTGTAGTAAAGGATTAAAAAAACTAATAATAAAAATAAAAGKAAAATAATAATAAAGTACAAATATTATAGTTAAAAAAATAAAAAAATATTGTTAACATTTAACTGAATTCTTACCAAAATGTTAAGAACAAAAAAACACAGAAAGCTTTCTCTCTTTGGGACTTGGGTTGTGGTCCATGGCCATGTGAATTACTGTCATGCCCTCCACTCGAACCCATATCATTTGCAGACACTTTCCTGGATAACACAATGTCCTTGTAAATAAATAATATTATTGCAAAAATGAGGTATGAGAAAAGGAAAAAAAAAACGTTCCACTTTAGTGGTCTGAAGAGTAAGTCCTTTGACAAAGGTATGCCCTAAAAAAATCTTATAAAAGAAACTTAATTGTTGTCCATGCATAGACATTTCTGATTAATAAAAAAACAACCTCTATGCCAAACTAAATTTCTCTTGAGCTTCTTTTCTGTTTAGCATAAAAAAAGACTGGGACAAAGTAGACTTTGCAGGGGGTTAGAACATATATTTCTTTAGCAAAAAAAGACTTATAAATTGTGCAGCAGCCTGAATTCATTTGATTGGCTATTAACACAAAAAAAATTCAGGGAACATTTATCAATATGCATGACAATGTTTTTGGCATCACATTGTAAAAAAAACTCATGCCTTTTTAATGAGGTAATATTTCAAGAATCATTTATGTTTACATAAAAAAAAACAGTATAATTATATGGGAGGTTTTCATTTCACCATCAAATAAAAGTACAAAAAAAACCTATTCATTATAATATTATCAAATTCTTTGGGCTGTAATTTATGTAATTGACAATGAAATCAGAGAAAATATAAAGACTGCAAACGTACAACACAAATGTGAAATTATAAAAAAATCGATGAAGAGTATGAGTATTTAAGTATCTAATGTCGAATTATCAGGATTCAAAAAAAGGTTAAAGCTTAAATGTTGTAGTTAGGTTTAATGAGTTGTTTCGATAAGAAAAAAAAATACTAAGGACAATTTGACGAAATATATGTCATTAAGCCTTAGTAGATGGAAAAAAAAATTTCGTTCTCGAATCGTCCAAATTTGTTTACACTGGGATCGAAATGTCACTAAAAAAAGATCTTGCGGAGCTGTGGTGTGAAAGTTGCGCGCGCTATTTTCATAAGATTAAAAAAACAGACAGGATTTCTTTCTTTGTGTCTCTTCTGTAACAACATCATTGATTTGAAAAAAAGTTGTAAGTAGCTACACTATTTAATGTTTGAATGTGTAAAGAACCGGCTCCAAAAAAAATACAGTTTACACAAAACATCAGCTGAACTTGACCGACATGGTGCTGTTCTTTACTGCACGCCATGCGTTTATGTGAAAAAGTGCACCGCTTTTCTGGCACGATAAAATTACATAAACAACAATGGAATCGTATATTGTCATTGTACTCACATGGGATGCTAGTTATGACAATTGTACATCATATGTTTTGAGCGACAGTTCTCCATTTTGGAAGCATCAATAATAACTTGTTTATCCACGCGATACAGACACGTGCCTGCGCTCGTTAAGGATTCTGGGATTTCAAGAAGCGGGGAAAATTAAAAAGTGACAGCTTTTATATCCTAAAAGCCAAATATATTGTATATGTATATTGATGGTCTATAGACAACACAAATGACTACAAACAAACATTGTTTCATAATTTTATTTCATTTTTCAACTTTCGCTATAAAAAAAGAACTAAATGTACTAATTCATGTGAAAATAAACAACTTCACTAAACAAAATAAATTTAAAAAAGACAATAAACTATAAATTATAAGTTACTAAATAATTCTCTGGTAAAAATTTCAGTCAAACAATGTACATAATTTACAAATAATACAATAATTGATAATAATATTAATGTTATTCTGTTGTGTCCCGACTCTGAAATCCTTTTTAAAAATAAAATAAAATTATCAGYTACTGTGGGAGATTTTATCCATCTTTTTCCATTCAGAGGAAAAAGGAAACTTCATTTTCTTTGCATGCATATCACCTTTCTTTTAAGGTTTGAAAAGAAAAGCCTAAATGTCCTGCATTTATTGTTATTCCAATCTTTGATTAGTTAACTATTTCATGGAGCTATATTCGTCGAATAACGTTTCATTTGCTGTTGAATTATTTCACTTGCAAAAGTATTCCATAGGAGTAAGTCTTCTTCTTATCTTCAAGGAAATCTTTCACACATCATTAAGCAACAGCACCACGAAATGCCCAAATATGGTTTTATCCAGCTTGAATGACCGCAATTTGCTCAATTAATTATGAAACTTGTAGATGACCTTATTCAGGACATAGTACTAGAAAAGATCAAAAACCTTGGGTTAGAAATCACAATAATTAAGTACAATGAAAATTCAATTGGTTCATACCTTTAAGTATATATTCTGTCAGGAGATTTGGCACTGTTGGGCTGTCTGATCTCATTGCGTCCATAACTATTTTGAAAAGGAAATAAAGTCATAGTAACATAGACATGCAGGTTTTCCCATTCTCTTTCCTCCCCCTCTTTTCTAAATAAAAATCAAAAGTAAGAAGACCTATTGTTTTTTTTCTTTACCACCAAAGGAATCCCAGTAACCTTCTGGTAGAATTGCACAAAAAAATGTTGCCTTGCAGTAGATTTCATGACTGTGCAAAAACATGGCACTTTCACACTGTGACCGTACGTTGCAGTGTAGGTTGTGTTCTTTCTGAGTCAGTACTTTTGTTAGCAGTCTTAACAATGTGATGTCCTGTGGCTGTGTCATGTCATGTCTCTTCTGTGATTTATGCTTTTGCAAAGTAATACAAAATCTGCTCTATGCCAGCAATGAAATTTACCACAAGACAAGAGTATAACAAAGTACAACACTGTATCATGTGCTTACTTTCTACTAATTTCTCAAGGCACTGCTTGTCTGGTCCTCCTGGAGTTTCCATGTAAGGTATGACAGTTGTCARATACTAAATAGACAAAGTACCATTAATATTTTAAATGCATTAAATTAAAATCATCATTCAGTGGAAACTCAAAAGACTTTATGAGATATCAACTGTAAAAAGGTAGCTATAACATTGAAGATGTCCTTTATTGGAAATTTCAATGCATTTAGTTTWWKKTTYYWTWAWYYTTTWARSCMARKWAAAA